GTGTGCGGTGTGTGGTGTGTGCAGTGTGTGGTGTGTGCAGTGTGCGGTGTGTGCAGTGTGTGGTGTGTGGTGTGTGCAGTGTGCGGTGTGTGGTGTGTGCAGTGTGCGGTGTGTGGTGTGTGCAGTGTGTGGTGTGTGCAGTGTGCGGTGTGTTCTGTGCTCTGTGCTCTATGCTGTGTGTTCTGTGTTCTGTGCTCTGTGTTCTGTGCTGTGTGTTCTGTGCTCTGTGTTCTGTGCTTATGTTCTATGCTCTGTGCTGTGTGCTCTATGCTATGTGTTCTGTGTTCTGTGCTCTATGCTGTGTGCTCTGTGCTGGGTGTTCTGTGCTCTGTGCTCTATGCTGTGTGCCCTGTGCTCTGTGCCGTGTTCTGTGCTGTGTGTTCTGTGCTCTGTGTTCTGTGCTGTGTGTCTGTGCTGCACTCTCTGTGCTGTGTGTTCTGTGCTGTGTGTCTGTGCTGCACTCTCTGTGCTGTGTGTTCTGTGCTGTGCTCTGTGCTGTGTTCTCTGTGCTGTGTGTTCTGTGCTGTGTGTTCTGTGCTGTGTTCTCTGTGCTGTGTGCTCTGTGCTGTGTGGGCTGTGGGCCGGGACGGCCTCAGGGCCCCCCGGGCAGCTGCGCCGGCCTTCTTGAGCGCAGAGCCTTCCCCGCGGACAGTGCCGGTCCTGCCAGGGACGCGGACCGCGCTGCTGCTGTGCCGGCTGTCTGCCCTGTGCCCTGCGGCTTCTCCGGGCGCCGTCCCCTTGTGCGGGGCACGCGTGGGCCGGCCTGGCGTCGGCCCCCTGGCAGGAGGGCGCTAAATACCTAAAGCCACGACAGAGACCGGGCGGCGGCCGCAGAGCACGCACCCACGCAGGTCCTCCCGTCCTCCGCGAGCACGTAGGGGTCGGAGCACACGCACTGGAAGCTGCCCTCGGAGTTCCTGCACCTCGCAGAGGGGTGGCAGGGCGGGCGCGTCGGGTCTGCACACTCATCCACATCTGCACACACGGTGTGCGGGTGAGCGGCGGCCCTGCGCCGGGCGGCTGGACCCCCCCCCCCCCGGCTGAGCCGGGCGGTTGGACCCCCCCCCACACCGGCTGAGCCGGTCGGCTGGACCCCCCCACCGGCTGAGCCGGGCGGGCGGACCCCCCCACACCGGCTGAGCCGGACGGTTGGACCCCCCCCACCGGCTGAGCCGGGCGGCTGGACTGCCCCCGTACCGCCTGAGCCGGACAGCTGGACCCCCCCACACTGGCTGAGCCGGGCGGCTGGACCCCCCCCCCACACGTCCCTGTGACGCACAGACCTTTACACAGCGGCGGTGGGTCGCTGCGGCCTCGCGGGGTGCACGCAGCCTGCTCGGGCCCGTGGAGCGCGTATCCAGGGTGGCAGGAGAACACGAGCAGGCGCCGGCCCGACTCTTCACAGAACACGGCGTCCCCGTGGTCCACCGGGCCCGGGAGGCCGCACCCGTCACCTGCGCAGGGCCGAGGGGGGCCGCCAGCACGCTCAGGAGGGGCCGAACCGCGCCCCCTCCACACGCCCCGCCCCGCCCGACCCCAGGACCAGGGCTCAGGAACAGCGCTGCTCCTCGCTTCCCCAGAAGTGCTAAAAGGCGGTGTGTATCTGCATGTGTGTGCATGTATGTCACGCATGGTGTGTGTCTCTCTGTGTGTGTGCATGTATGACACGCATGGTGTGTGTCTCTGCGTGTCTGTGTGTGTGCATGTGTGCGTGTGTCACAATGGTGTGTGTCTCTGTGTGTGTCTACATGTCTCTGCATGCGTGTGCCACACATGGTGTGTCTCTGTGTGTCACATGGAGTGTGTATCTGTGTGTGTGCATGTGTGTCACACATGGTATGTGTCTGTGTGTGTGTGTGCGTGTCACACATGGTGTGTCTGCATGTGTATCAATGGCGTGTGTATCGTGTGTGTCACACATGGTGTATATCTCTGAGTATGTGTCTCTGCATGTGTGCGTGTGTGTCACACATGATGTGTGTATCTTTCTGTGTGTACGTGTGTCACAGTCTCTGCGCGTCTCTGCGTGTGTGTGCATGTGTGTCACACATGGTGTCTGTGGCACATGGAGTGTGTTTCTGCATGTGTGCGCGTGTGTCACACATGGCTTGTATATCTGTGTGTGTCACACAGTGTGTTTCTGCATGTCTGTGTGTGTGTCACACATGGTATGTATATCTGCGTGTGTGTACGTGTGTCACAGTGTGTCTCTGCATGTCTGTGTGTGTGTCTCTGTGTCACACATGGTGTATCTGTGTGTGTGTCATATGGAGTGTGTATCTGCGTGTGTGTGCATGTGTGTCACGCATGGTGTGTGTCTCTGTGTGCTCTGGCAAATGGCTGCCCGGTCCTGAACGCAGGCCTTTTCTGGCGCGGAGCTGCTGCTGCTCAGGACCACTAAGGTCAGATCGTTTGCTCCTGGTCAGCTTCGGTTATGAAGCTGAACGGTGATCCTTGCCTGCTCTGAGCAATGGAAATCTCACCCGTTGCCTCTGGCTGGGAGAGACCCGGCTTGGAGGCAGGGCCGGCCCCGGGCAGGGCCCACGGGCCCGGGAGGCTTGGAGGCAGGGCTGGCCCGGGCAGGGCCCACGGGCCCGGGAGGCTTGGAGGCAGGGCTGGCCCGGGCAAGGCGCATGGCCGGGAGGCCAGGCCGGG